GAGCAAAAAATCCAGGGAGTTCTTGGCAGGACAGAGGAAACCAGGGCCCCAAAATTTACGGCCCACTTTAAATATAGGAGCAAAATATAACAACAGCATCAACCCCCAATTCCCTGAGGGATGTGGTGAGCTGGAAACCTGGGCTCTGTACCCTGTAATATTCTGGAGCCACGTTACCCAGTGAAATAAAAGTGACTCAGTCCCAGAATTTATTTTTGAAATGCCATTAAAATGCATTTTAAAAGCAAAATAAAACCGAGAGACACATGATCAGCATGGAGCAATTATTAGGAAAACGACACCGATCCAGCATAAAATACTTCATTAAATACAAAGCAAATCAATCATCGTGAGTAAGAACTAAGTCACCAAATGAATTCCAGCTCTAGAAGGCAGAATAGGAAGTTTTGCTCYAAATCTCACCTACATTATTGCACTAACCATTTAAGGATTGGGAACTGCTGGGTGTTTAAACGTTCAAAGGGCTGCTTTGGGTACCACTTGGCTTTGATGAAGATTCTACTTTTRAAATCCATTATGGTTGTACAAAGGTCAAGCAAACGGCTCTGTCTTGACTTTTGCACCTTAAATGTTAAGAAAGATTGGGTTGCCCACACAACTGGGCTAAAACAAAAAATCAGAAAAGCCTGGAATGGTTTGGGGTGGAAGGGTTGTTAAGGATAATTCAAYTCCACCCATTCACCATGGGCAGGGACACCTCCCACTGTCCCAGGCTGCTCCCAGCCCCARTGTCCAGSCTGGYCTTGGRCACTGCCAGGGATCCAGGGGCAGCCACAGCTCCCTGTGCCCATGCAGGGTGAGAGGAGCGATTCTATGAGGAAGAYGCTTTGTTCCCTGTGGGGTTTTGCCTTTTCTTCCCCAAACACTGTTTTCCTAAAGCCTCTTCTTATTTCTCTGGGCAGGCAGCTGGCCCGGGGTGTCCTGACTGTCCTGGAGATGCTGGATTCTCTGTCCCTGCTCCCATGGGATCATGGGCTCCACAGCTCTCCCTTGCCACAAGACAGAGGCCACCGAAACCTCAGCKCTCCCCTCTTGAAACCTCCCTTCCTCGCCCCGTTTTAGCACAACTGGAGCACAACTTGGCCATATTTTTGTGGGAACAAATAATTTTGTGCTCACAGGAAAGCAGAGTAAGGAACAGAGAAGTCAGGAAAAGGAAACACTTCAGTTCTCCCGGAGCAGGCCTAGGGGTGCAGAGCAGATGTGGCTGCTTTCCTGGCACTGCTTCCCAGCTTTTTCAGTTGGGAGAAGGCAGGTGATTGATTAGTCAGCCACTGAAGGAGCCTTTCAAACGTGGCTGCCATGATTTGCTGTTCTCCAGCTGCCCTTGGTGTCCCAGAGGAGCAGGATTCCCTCAGGATATTTGCTGACCCAAAAGGCTTTTCTGTCTCACCCTAAATTTGGGGGCTGCTTTGCTCTGTCTCCCTCGGGGCCAGGCATCTTTGTCCAACCGAGCCCAAATTAGGTCACTCTCAACCAGTGTCAGCTTGGAGGAGCCTTGCTCAAGCTGGCAGTCTGAAAAAAACAAAAAAATGGAAATATTTTCCATGCCACAGAGACTGCTGGTCTGTGACCCACCAAAATATCCAAAATCCAGATGCATCAGACCAATTCTGATGAAGTTGGCATGGTCTTATCTGGGTCAATTGTCTTAACAAGACGTTATGTCACCCATTAGGGGAAAATACAGTCTAACCCCCCTAAAAATAACTAATGGGAAAAACCTTGCACAACAAAGCCAGTGGCACATCAGAAAAATAAAAATAAATTCAGACCCATGATATATTTAATCATCTGTATTTATTCCTCTGCTAATCTAAAAACAGGCAAATGTTCTTTTTCTTCTTGGAAACGAGGCAATTCTGGAAAATTTCATAGTTTRGGCAGCTCTTTGAACAGCTTTTCTCCTAAAACTTCAATTTTGTTATTTGCTAGGAGGAAAGCCATTGGAATGCAGGAAATTTGCATTGTATATAAGTTATTTTACCATACCAGCTCTGTCCTCTGGGCTCTCAGAACAGACACCAGAGGAATGGAATTTCTGTGTTTTGCCATAAAAAGAGAACTTGGATTTCATGGASATTGGAGCTCCATTTCAAGGAGTTAGAGCTGAAGACCAGGAAGGCCCAGGAAGAAGGGAAAGGCAGAGGAATCTCCAGGTGTGCTCTGTCTGCGCAGAGCATCCTGCACGGGGGAATAGTTTGCAGTGGTGATGGATGAAGCCTTCAAAATCACTGCTCCATTGGTACAGAAGTTATCCAGACACCAGCTTCCAGGGGTTTTGTGTGAAAAATCCATGGGTAGAAAAACCTCAGGTGGGAGAGCTCCAAAACAGCATCCTGCAGCTCCTCCTGAGAGACAGCTCATATCACTGCTCTGGGACAGGGACAGGGAATGGCTGGAGCTGGGCCAGGGCAGGCTCAGGCTGGAGAGCAGGGAAAGGTTCTTCTGTCCCCAGGGGGTGCTGGCACTGCCCAGGCTCCCCAGGGAACGGGCACGGCCCCGAGGCTGCCAGAGCTCCAGGAGCGTTTGGACAGCGCTGCCAGGGATGCACAGGCTGGGATTGCTGGGGGGGCTGGGCAGGGACAGGGGTGGCACTGGGTGATACTGGGGGTCCCTTCAGCTCAGGATATTCCAGGATTCCATGGAATATGGTGTTGAAGCCAACCACATGGGGAATTTTTCCTGCCCAGCCTGAACTGGAGAGGAAAAAGGCAATGCAGTGAGAGGGCTGAATAAAAGGAGCTCTGTGTCTGTGACACTATGAAAACCAAAGAGATCCTGTGGTCCTTCATCCCTTCAGAACCCAGAAAACTCGGGAATTTTTCACTGAGGAGATACCTTGGAGCACAGAGATAATGCAGTCATGGAATGGTTTGGGTTGGGAGGCACTTCTCTGCTTCTCTGGGCACCCTGCGGYAGGACCTCCTCATCCTCAGAGGAACAATTCCTTCCCAATATCCCATCTAAAGTTCCTCTCAGCTTAAGGCCATTCCCTGTGTCCTATCACTACAAGCCCTCTTGAGAAGATAAAACATTTCAGTTGTCTTGGYGCTCTTGAGCCTCTTGAAAACCGTTGTTGGAGGCTGTTTTCTTTTACTAAATGGATTTGAGATTTACTTGGATTAGGGCCTTAATAAATACCTACAGTGTTTGTCTTTCATCTGGGAAATGTTTGCCTGCTTTTAAATAGGCTGTTCTTGTTTGCTCCAGTGTTGTCATGTTGATGGGAGCCTTTGGAAACAGGAATTCAGCCCTTAATTCAATAAAAGGATTTGGAAACCTGAGGCTCCAACTCGCCTCAAATATAACTGGGAGAAATCCAGAGTAGCAGGACTTTATTTCATTGCTGGGGAAGCAGCAGGAGAGCAGCTCCTGGACAATTTTTGATGTCTGGATGAGTTGTTTATGTGCCTCAGGACAGTTTGTGGTGGTGTGATTATTGTTTCTAAAGCTCGGCCCTGGCCAGAAGGCAGCTGAGCTGCTCCACGTGGTGGGAAAACCCAGCGGTGCCTCCCTGGATTCCTCCTGTGCCCCTCTGCTCCATCCTCATGAGATCCCGCCTGGAATGCAGCTTCCTAGCACGGGAATCCCAGCACGGGAAGGACGTGGAGCTGCTGGAGAGAGCCCAGAGGAGGCAGCAGGATGGTCAGAGGGATGGAGCAGCTGTGCTGGGAGGAAAGGCTGGGAGAGCTGGGATTGTTCAGCCCGGACAGGAGAAGCTTTGGGCTGAGCTCATTGTGGCCTTGCAGGGCCTGAAGGAGCCCACAGGAACCATGGAGAGAGACAATTTCCAAGGGCTGCAGAGACAGGACAAGGGGGATTGGCCTCAAAGGTTTAGATCAGATATTAGGAAAAAATTCCTCCCTGGGAGGGTGGGCAGGCCCTGGCACAGGGTGCCCAGAGAAGCTGTGGCTGCCCCTGGATCCCTTTGAGTGCCCAAGGCCAGGCTGGACATAGGGGCTGGGAGCAGCCTGGGACAGTGGGAGGTGTCCCTGCCATGGCAGGGGTGGCACTGGATGATCCCTAAAATCCCTCCCAAGCCAAACCAACCCCTTCCCATGTCCCCTCCCCATGGGCACAGCCCCGTGGGTTCATGGCCTGGCTGGGCAGGGGCACCATGGGGAGGCTTCTCACCAACAAAGCCCAGCTGGAAGGTGCTGGTGGGACTGGTGGGTTCTGCTGCTGAGAATGTCAGGAGCTGGGAATAATTCCACGGTGAGACAGCTCCTGGGGATTTTCCATCCTGTGCAGCTCCCAGGTGGTTGGCAGCAGGGACAGCAAGGACACAGGGACACAGGGAGAGAGGGACACAGRGAGAGAGGGACACAGGGACAGAGGGACAGAGGGACACAGGTACAGCAGGGACACAGGGACACAGTGACACAGGGACAGCAGGGACATAGGGACACAGGGACAGCGTGGACATAGGGACACAGGGACAGCAGGATGTGCTTCCTCTCGCCCTTGGAAAGTGCTCATGGAGCTGATTTGGCTCTGCTTCAGTTCAGGACTGGGACCTTTCCTCTCCAAAGCACATTTTGGCAGCTTTCTCGTGTCCTACAGGCCGGTGGTTTTGCTCCAAGGAGCTGTGAAGGTCACAGGGCTGCTCAGGTGCCACCACCCTCCCTTCAGCACTCCGGCCTCTGCCACCTGATCCCTTGGGGCTGTGGGGATGGGGCTGGGTTTCATCCTKCCTGCTGAAAACAGCTGGGAGGGAAGGGCTTGTCTCTGCTTTCGAAGTCTCATCAAAGAACTGCATTGAGCTGTAAAAAAGAGAATTTGAGGTTGTGGGACAATTCTGACTCTGAACTGGATGCAGTGGYTCTGGAGAGCTCAGTCCTAGGAGCGAAGTGAATTTTAGATCTGGAGCGTGCAAATCTCATAGGGTAATTAATATGAATTAATAAGATTTATTGCTTGCTTTTGAAAAACCCTCTTTCTCTGGCTACAAATAACCAAAAGGATTCCTTTTGCAGAGCCCTTATCTACTCACGTGGCCAAAAACCAGATGGGAAAAGCAAGAAGAAAAGAGGGAACCAAAGGATGTGAAAAGATCCTGATCATCCAATAATCCCARGTGTTGATGTATCATCCACTGCCCCTTCCCAGGTGATTTGTAGGCACAAACARTTGTTCAGCCCCTGCTTTTCCACAAAAATCTCTTTGGACACAGCCTCCATTGTCTTTTTTCCCTCCAGAGCACGACAGCTGCAGACAAGTCTGTATCAGACACACAAAGAAGGCAGCAGAAAGTCCATACCAGAGTGGGAACAAATGAGGAAATCCATGGRAGAGGTGTCMGGTGCCAGGCTGGGCAAATGGAGGYGTTATTGTCCCTGTCACCTTAATAGCTGAGAGTGAAATCAGGAGGGAAAGAGGATTTTATTATGAAAAAAGGGATGAGAAGGAGAAATTGTGCGATCTCTTAGGACAGATCACACACCCAGGGCTAAACCTGTCCCAACAGAAGCAGGTTGATTCATKAGGCCACGTGCTGCCTGTAATTAAAGCTTATTTAAAAACAGAAAAAAACAAACAAACAAACAAAAAAAAAAAAGAATGGGTTTAAGGCTGAGCCACACCAGAGCTCAGTCCTGTCCAAATTAGGGAGGGAGAAGCTCAGCTGAAGGGCCCTGATGGCCAAACCCAGATTTCTCAGGATGGCCCAGGCAGAATGTTCTGGAAATGGAACACCCTCAGAGCTACCAGAGCAGCCACCCCTGTCCCACAGCTCACAGTGGCTCTGGAGGTCCCATGGGAGCTGCTCCCTGGGCCGGGGATTTTGGGATTTTGGGATTCTCCAGAAGCTGGATAAGGGCTGGATAAGGGCTGCATCTGCTGAGCAGCCCAGGGCAGCCTGGAGCCAAAGCATGACCTAATTCCTGTGCAAATAGCCCGAGTTTGGATTTCCAGAGTGGCTGAGCATCCTCCTGGGATGAGGGGAGGAAACCAGGGAGAGGGGCCGAGCTCTGTCCAGTGCCCTGGGGAGGGCTCCAGGTCCTGCACTGCTCCATTTCCCATCCCTGCACAATCCAGCCCTGATCCTTTCTGAAGCAGGGAAACTTCAGCCAGGGCAGAGGATTGCTCCCAAATGTAGGGATGGGGGATAATGGGATTCAAAATGCATCCTGGAGCTGGAAGTGGAGCCTCTGCTGCCCCAGTGGTTCCTGAGCTGGGGTCAGGAGTGGGAGGTGAATTCACCTGCKGATGCCTCTGTCCCATCCCCACACCTGCAGCCCTTCTGGCCACAGAATTCCTAATCTTTCTGTCCCAGACTGCAGGAGTTCAGCCCCTTCCATTCGGATAAATCTGGTTATTTGTGCCTTTCTCTCTGGTCCCTGGGTGAGTGGTGATTATTGCTCGTGTTCATCCCGCTCTGGCAGCTCCCCTCCGCTCTGAGCGAGGATTCCTCTCCAGCTGGGGAACTCCAGCCTGCAAAGCTTCTGTTGTTCYCAGCTCCATCTGGGAATGCAGTGGGGAGGAGAAGGCACGGAGGGGACAGGCTGGGAAGGGACACAGACAGCCYGGGCTGCCAGCAGTGTTGGGAAACATCCTGATCCTTTTCCATGCTCACACATGCCGGGGACAGCCTGGCCGTGCCTCGCTGGTGGCACCACGGAGGGTCTGCAATTCTGTCACTCCAAAATGTGCACATTTGTGGTGTTTTCTGTTCCCAGAAAATTCCAGGATCCCTGAGGGTGGAAAAGCCCTCCAGCCCATGGAGTCCCAGCTGTGCCCGATGCCCACCTTGTCCCCAGCCCAGAGCACTCAGTGCCACCTCCAGCCCTTCCTGGGACACCTCCAGGGATGGGSAYTCCAAASCTCCCTGGGCAGYCCCTGCCAAGGCCTGAGCACCCTTTCCATGGGCAAATTCCTCCTGGTGAACAAATCCTTTCCCACCAGTGAATTGCACCATTAAACATCAGACTCCGCCACCATTTTCTTCTGATAGAGAACCTGCTCCAKGAGTGTGTTTTGCTCAATTATTCCATCTTTTGTCACCCTTTTTCCCTTCCACAGAGCTTGGCTCTTGCCTGATGCCTTTGCTGGAGCCATCGTCACCGCCCTGCCTGGGGCACACATTTTGGGCTGATGTCATTGTCCCCTAGCCCGGTGCCAGCAGAGCCCAGGTCCAAACAGGAAATTTCGATAACGAATGGTCTCATTGGGCCAGTGCCAGCTGGGGGTGTAGGATCAGGGTGGATAAATCAGAAAAAGCTTCAGAGTGGGATGGGCCTGAGGGAGCAAAGGAGGCTCCGGGGGGACCTTGTGGCTCTGCACAACTCCCTGACAGGAGRGGGCACSGAAAGGAGAGGAAATGGCCTCAAATTGCACCAGGGGARGCTCAGGGTGGAGAYTGGCAAAGAAAATTCCYTGTCAGAGTGGTCAGGCCTTGGAATGAGCTGCCCAGGGAGGGGGTGCAGTCCCTGTCTCTGGGAGTGCTCAGGAGGAGTCTGGATGTGGCCCTTGGGGACAGGCTTTGGGGTGATGCTGCTGGGGCTGGGGTGGCTCTGGGTGATCCCAAAGGGCTCTTCTCTCCTTAGTAATCCCAGGATTCTGGGATTCTGGGAAGATCCAGCACTTCCTAACTCCAGCTTTAGGACTGGATAAGCCAAGGTGCTGCCCTGGGACAGGGTTTTGCTGAGCTCAGTCCACCAAACTCCCTCCTCCATTACCATTCCCTGCTCTGCCCAGATTGTCCCCGTGGTCACTCCAGGGACCACATGGCCATACAAGCCCTGGAGTGACCAGCAGGATGTCCAGGTGGAGGAGAACCTCAATGGGAATGTGAGTGTGGGGAAAGAGGAGCCAGGGATGTGCCCTGGGGGTAAAGCTGGACCGGGAGGGGATCACAGAGACCCTCATGCTGCTGCTGGGGCTGATGGCACCTTGGAATCACAAAATCCAAGGAACCTTGGCCCAGCCACCTSTGCCTCGTGCCCCATCATGGCTTGGGAGGGGAATAAAGATGTCCTGGGGGTTTGGTGTCAGGGACAAGGTGCCTGTGAACATGGCAGGGATTTGACTGGGGGATGGAGCAGATGCGCTGGGAGTGCTGGGATTGTTCAGCCTGGACAGGAGAAGCTTTGGGCTGAGCTCATTGTGGCCTTGCAGGGCCTGAAGGAGCCCACAGGAACCAT